CCACCACAGGATGAGACTTCTTTTAAAGAGCTACTCTTGTATTAACTTTAAAATATTTAATATGGGGGTCAGAGAGGTTGTACAGCGAGTACAAGGTTTTCCTTGATCTTCGACACCTCAGAAGATTCCTTGAACACTGCCAGGTGTGACCCCAAAACAACAAATTTTTAATAGGGCATTAACTGTAGTCACCAAGCTGTATGTTACACCTTCAGGTCTTGCTATTTTATTCCTTAGTCATTCGTAATCTTTAACTTCCTCGCTCTTTTTTTTTGGTCTGCTCCTTTTCCACTCCTCTGGTCTCTGGCAGCCCCCACTCGATTTCTGTTCTCTGTGTCTCGTTTGGTTTTCATTTATCTGTCCATTTTGTTCTATTTGTTCACACCTGGCAGTGTAAGGGACTGTTCCTGGCTCTTTGCTTAGGAGTGATCCCTGAAGATGCTGGGGGACCATGTGTGTGACCAAAATCCACTGCCTGCCAGGCGCCTTTTCTCATGTTCTACCTCTCTGGCCCACTTTTTGTTAAAGATTCTACATATAAGCACTTCTAGTTGTGACCCCCAAACTCTTCTTGCCCTCCCCTCAAAAAGTTTTCCTCATGTAAATGTGGTGAAGTCTTTCTCTTCTTAATTACTTCACTTAGTACAAATTCCCAGTGGTTTGTCTGTCTTGTTGTGACAATATTTCATTCTTATTTTTGTAGCTGAATAATATTTCACATAGATAATACACAGATTTTATGCACTACACTTCCAGTTGTCAGACCCTTAAATTGTTTCAATACCTTGGCTGTTGTAAATAATGTTGCAGTGAACTTGGGGGGTTTTGTTTGTTTGTTTGTTTGTAAGCCACACCCAGTGGTACTCAGGACTTACTGCTGACTCTGTTCAGGGGTTCCTCCTGGTAAGCTCTGGCAAACCCCTGATCCCGGGGGTGCCAGGGATCAAACACAGGTCGGCCACATGCAGGGTAAACACACTACCTACTTCACCCTCAGGCCTGTTACAGTGAACTTGGGGGTGAATATACTCCTACTCATCAGTAGAATTCTGGGCTGTGTCCTATTTTTAATTTTTTTTTTCTTTTTTGGGTCACAACGAGCAATGCACAGGGGTTACTTCTGGCGATGCTCAGGAGACCATATGGGATGCTGGGAATCAAATGCGGGTTGGCCGCGTGCAAGGCAAACGTCCTACCCACTGTGCTATCGCTCCAGCCCACTAGCACAGCAAGTAGGGCGTTTGCCTTGCACGCAGCCAACATGGCCGACCCGAGTTCGATTCTTCTGCCCCTCTCGGAGAGCCTGGCAAGCTACCCGTGACGTATTCAATATGCCAAACACAGTAACAGCAAAGTCTCATGATGGAGACGTTACTGGGCCCGCTTGAGAAAATCGATGAACAACGGGAGCAGGACAGGCATCTCCACACTTTCCCAGAGGCTGAACCATTGCATTCCTACCAACAATGCCTAAGGACTTCCTTTCCTGCGTCCTTGCCATCACCTTTTTGGTAATAGACATTCTAGCAGGAATAAGGCAATGTTTCAGTGGGATTTTCATTTGCGTTTTCTGGTGAAAATGAGCGCCTTCTCATGCCCGCTGGCCATCTGTATGCCCTCTTTGGGAAACTGTTTAGAGTCTCTGCCCACCTTTTAGTTGGATTGTGTGCCTTGTTTTTGTTATTAAGTAGAATGAATTCCTTGATGTGTTTTGACTATTAACCCCTTATCTGATAAATAACTTGTCTTGTTTTGGTTTTGGGGCCACTCCCAGAGATGCTCAGGGGTTATAGCTGGCTCTGCTCTCCAGGTGGGGCTCAAGAAACCATATGGGTTGCCAGGGAACAAGCCCAGGTGGGCTTTTGCAAGGCAAACACCCTGCCCACTGTACTGTGACTCCAGCCTCCAGATAGTTTTAAAGGGCAAGAGGTTTTTAATTAGGTGTATTTTATTCTCTCATGGATTGTGCTTTTTGGAATCATATCTAAGAAATCTTTGCCTGACTCACAGTTACAATGATTATTTCTTTATATTTGCTCCTAAAATGAAGGTCTAGCATTTATATTTAGGTTTGTTCACTATTTTAAATTGGTATTATGTGAAATACAGAGCGACGTTTGTACTTTTCTGGCTTCACACCCGGTGATGCTCAGGTTACTCCTGGCTCTGCACTCAGGAATCACTCCTGGTGGTGCTGGGGGACCATAGGGGATGCTGGGAACCGAACCCAGGTTGGCCGCGTGCAAGGCAAACACCCTACCTGCTTTGCTATCCGCTCCAGACCCAGTTTTTACTTTTTGCTTGTAGAATCTCCAGTTTTTCCACCTTAGTGTACTTTCATACCAGCATTGTAGTTTTCATCTGTGGAAGTTTAACTCTTCCTCCTGTCCTTCCCTTCTAATTCTAGACACTCCGTTGCGGGAGGTGAGTCAAACAAATCTTACTGAGCTTTACACCAGTAAATCTTCCTGAGGGGGGAGGAGCGCTCGCACAGCAAGCAGGGCACTTGCCTTGCATTCGGCTCACCCAGGTTCTATTGCTGCCACCACATACGGTCTCTAAGCACCGAGCGTCAGCCCTGAGCACAACTGGGTGTGATCCAAAAATAAAGTCTTTAAAACAAAATTTTACTCAGCTTTGTATGAGCACAAAATTTTGTGCTGTTTTCTAAAACACTTGGGTGATCTGGAATCAGTTGGTCCTTTTGTGTCTTCTGTGTTTATTAGGTAGATCTGGAGCAGTGCTCCGTTGAGGGGTCCTCTTTCCATCCCCCTGCTGAAGTGAATCTTCCTGGGTTTTTCATCAGCCCTGAGTTTCTCCTGCCAATAACAGTCCCTGGTAACGCCCATGCGTGGGTTCTCTGTGACACCAGGTCTGAACTCAGCGTCTGCCCTGAGCAAGGCCTGTGCTCCTGCTCTTAAAATAACAGGGAGAAGCTTCGCCCCACGTCGTCCCAGAAAAGCTTAAGAGCACTGGGTTGGACAGACAACTTTCCATCATTGTACCAGGGAGCACCCACTCTCCGGGTGAATCAGCATCAGAGACGCGGGGGGGGGGGGGGGGGGCAGGAGGAGAGAGGCCCCCAGCCTGCCTCTAGTCGGGAGAGCAGCTCCTTCCGGCAGGACCAGATTGATGTGGGGGGATGTGCTTAAGCTGAAAAGTGAAGCGAAAGAAACCCCACACCTGGGGAGGAGCTTAGAATAAGACAAAATTCTGGATTGATGTCTGTAACATCTGGAAGTTGCGTCGGCTTTGTTAAGGCTCAGAAACAAAGCATATAGGGGCCCGGAGTGATAGTACAGTGGGGAGAGTGTGTTTGCCTTGCATTTGCCGGATGTGGTTCAATCCCTGGCATCCCATATGGTTCCTCCATGCACAGCCAGGAGTAATTCCTGAGTGCAGAGTCAGGATTAGCCCCTGAACATCGCCAGGTGTGACCCAAAAAGCCAAAAACAAAAGCGTAGAGAATGTTTTTCAATATTTGCCGTGCATTTATAAGATACTGTGCTGGTTGGAGGGGTGTCCAGTGATGCTTTTTAGAGTATGCTATATTATTTAAACTCTTGAGTTACAACTCTTTGTTTATCATGAAATAAATTTAGGGGCTCACAATGATGATCAGCTTTCAAAACTAATAATGCTTTCCTGGCATTTATTGTTACATGCGAGTTTCGTTTCCTGTATACATGTTCATGTGTGTACTAGGCCCAGAGGTGCCCCAGGTAAGACTCGGTCATCCAGTGCTTCTCCGCTCATCTGTTGGCTGGTTGGAATATTTGGCAGTTGTCCTGGGCTTGTGAGCAGCGCCTGTCCCTTGGCTGTCTCCCAGTGGGGGGCTGGGAACTTTCTCTGAAGTGTCTGCTCAGGTTAGGTGGGGCTCTCCTCCAGGCTTCTTGGTCTTCATGCTGGGATTGTTCCTGTGGGCTGGGTTCCAGGCGTCCCTCTCGGCCTTGTGGGTCTTCTCCATTGAGCCTTTGCAGACAGGGCTCTGGGGCCAGGGACCACCTTGCTGTCCTTGATCCTTTGTCAGGCTCTTCCTGGTTGGTGATGTGACTGCTGGGGCGCTCGCAGTTCCTGAGTTTTCACTAGGTCCGACGAGTGTGGGGCAGGGTGACATGGTTTCAAGTTTAGTGTCTCATGATTCAGCGCTGCACATTTGGCCTGATGAGGCCTTCCGTTTACGGGGGAGATGTTTTAGATGGTGGGACCTGTGTGAGGCCCTGAGTTTGAGCCTTAGCACTGCCTTGGATCCCTTACCCCCTCATCCCCACAAGCATTGCAGCGATAGCCCTGATGGACCTGGAGAACTGAGCCAGGAGGCTGCATGACCAGGCATAACTACGTTCCAAATGACCCTCGAAGCTGCCTGGCACGGCAGAATAAAGATGGTTTAGGCAGCAGTAGTCAAGCTCTGTGACCTCAACGTCTGCCAGCTCCTCTCTGCTCACTTGTTTTGCCTGTGAAACGGGAACAGCTGGGTGGGGAGGGTTAACACGTTGACACGGGTGCTGCCATTAGAGTTAACAGAGGTTGTCTGCCTGGAGTGGAAGCGTTGCCCCGCAGCTCAGCTCTTTGCCAAAGCTGCTTTCCCAGTTACCTGGTTCCCTACCACCACCTGCTGCCCCATACTGGCCTTCGATTCTCCAGTATTCTAACAGGATCCTAATTTCTGTAAATAATGGTGCGTGAGTTGAGGGATCACAGTCACTTGCATTCTCTGGATCTTGCTGTCACGTGCACCCAAAAGGGCCCCATTTTCAGATGGGGGTGGGGAGGCTTGTGGAAGAAGCTGGAGACTTCTGCCAGGAGAGAACAGTGCAGACCCGACCGTGTGTGCTCTGACGTTGGGGGGAAACTCCCACAAACTCGGGACGACCACCCCAGCTTCTCTGCAGCCCTCCTTGGCCGGGGATCCTCCAGCCCTGAATGGGCCCTGCTGCCTGTTGGCTCCCTCCTGCCCTCCCCCGTGTTGCTCATGTTACAATTGCCCTTTCTCACAGGGATGCTTGAAGATGGAAAGAAATTCGATTCCTCCCGGGACAGAAACAAGCCCTTTAAGTTTATGCTAGGCAAGCAGGAAGTGATTCGAGGCTGGGAAGAAGGGGTCGCCCAGGTATGTACCCATTCACTTACTCTAAGTGGTGTGGTTCCTGTGTTTCAAGGGTTTTATTGATTTTTGTTTATTTTATTTTTGTTGGTTTTGGTTTGGGGCCACACTGGGCAAGGCTGGGGGTCTACATGGGATACCAGGAATCAAGCCCGGGTCGGGCACATGTAAAAAAGCAAGTGCCTTACTCGCTGTCCAATCTGTCTGACTGCTTGGTTGAAGGTTTTAGAAAGTGTGTTTAGTGGGGCCAGGGTAACAAGATGCTCATGGTGGCTTTCACTTAGGCAGACCCTGCCTGGTGGCATGAGTTTATTTCCTTCTCTCCAAAGAGAATTGGAGATTTAAATGAAAGGGAGAGAAAGACTCATTCTTTCACCCAGACTACACTGCACCCAGCATCACTTCTATAAAACATTACTGCCTTATCTCCAGGTGAGTGGCTTTGCTTTCAGAAACTTGAAGCCGGGTGTCTAGATTTCCGTCCCTGCAGGGCAGAGGCTCGGCGGTCCAAGGAGAGAGCTTTGGGGCCTGCTTCCCTCGGGAATCTCTGCCAGCCCTCTGGCCCGCTGCGTCCTGCCTCGAGTCTAGCTGGCTCTGTGTCTGCAGCCCATCCCCCGTCTCTCGTGCCAGCCATTGTCCACACCATGGCTCTTCGGAGAATGTTCCAGCGCTGGAACAATAACTGTGTTGTGTGTTCCAAGAGCCCTAGCTGCTACGGAGATAGTGTTATCAGCCAGCTCCACGCCCCAGGCTGGCCAAGTATGACACTTGGGGCGCTGCCCAGGCTCCCTTGACCCAGTGTGCTTTGGCACCAGCCACAGCCTTGTCACCTGGGAGGAGTCTGAGGCCTACACACAGCCACCCCCACCTCCCCAGCACCCAGCAGTCTCGGGCTACTCTGTGTCTAGCTTCCTGGCGCCTAGAGCAGCTTCTAAACTCTTTGTGGTCCTGCTCTTTTTTAATTTTTTTTTTTAACTTTATTTGTTTTGCTTTTTGGATCACACCTGATGATGTACAGGGTTTACTCCTGGCTCTGAATTTAGGAGTCACTCCTGGCTCAGGGGACCATATGGGATGCCAGGGATCAAACCCAAGGCAAACACTCCCCCCACTGTGCTGTTACTCCAGCCCCACAAATGTATTCTTAAAAGTGATTTTTGTCTTGTTTTGGGGCCACACTCGGTGATGCTCAGGGCTTGTTCCCAGTTCAGTGCTCAGGGATCACTCCTGCTGGTGCTTGGGGTACCATATGGCGTCCAGGGAACCAAACCTGATTCACATGCCAATCAAATGCCCTACTCGCTACACTATCACTTTGGCCCCTTAAAAAAAGTGAATTTTGACCCTGACCATTGTATTTTTTCCCCATGAAAAACCATTGGTACTATGTTCTTTGGCAGTATTTTCACTTTACACAGGAGGGTACAGGGTACAGATGCTTGTATATTGCCGTTAAGCACATAGTAGTACATATGTATGCTGCTTTATGTCCCTGAAAATTTGAGTCTTTTCTGTATTCTTAAGAATGCAGATGGGGCCGGAGTGATAGCACAGCGGGTAGGGCGTTTGCCTTGCACGCGGCCAACCTGGGTTCGATCCCCGGCATTCTATATGGTCCCGCGAGCACCGCCAGGAGTGATTCCTGAGTACAGAGCCAGGAATAACCCCTGAGCATCGCTTGATGTGACCCAAAAAGAAAAAAAAAATGTGGAAAATGCAACGTAGTAGACTGCCCCCCACCCCCGAAAGTACCATTCTTTGGATATTGTCCTTTGAGCAAAAATGACATTTTTTCAAGCACTTAGGTGATTCTTGTTCTTTCAGTGACAGGCCACTGGCCACCAAGTGGGGACACTTCTCGGGTGTTGGCTGCCTGGAGTCAGGTTCTTCAGCCCTTAGTAGAGAGGCTAAGCTCCTTGGTTGTTTCTGGAGCCAGGGTAGGGTCTGGCTGCGGCCGGATTCAGGGACTGTCCTACCACACCAGCTGCAGACTCTGGGCACTGGCCCTGGCCAAGGCACCCAGGTAGACGCAGCTCATGGAGGCTGTCAGAACTGTGCAGCTAACGGTCTCTCGTTCCTCTCTCAGATGAGTGTGGGCCAGAGAGCCAAACTGACCATCTCTCCAGACTACGCCTATGGTGCCACTGGACACCCAGGCATCATCCCACCCAACGCCACTCTCGTCTTTGACGTGGAACTTCTAAAGCTGGAATGACAGGAATGGCTCCCCCCCCTGCGTTCCCCCTGGTAAGGATATGGACGAGTGGGCGGCAGAAAGAGCCAGACTCTCAGCGCTGGCATTGGGTGGTCTGGTAACTGTGTGTGCTGCAGAGTGACTGTCGCCTCCCGCACGCCCAGCCCTGAGGCACCACTGGGAGAGAGAGAGAGAGATCTTGGGGGGGTGTGAAAGATGTTGGGTGAATGTGTGTGCAGTGCTTGGGCAAATGCGAGAGTGTGTGTGCGGACATGCAGTGCTTGGGCGAGTATGTGCGTATGTGTGTGCGTGTGTGTGTGTGCGCGCGTGCATGCAGTGCTTGGGCCAGTATGTGAGAGTTGTGTGCGCGTGTGTGTGTGCGCGTGCATGCAGTGCTTGGGCCGGTATGCGAATGTGTGTGTGTCGGGCCACTCTCAGCAGTGCTCAGATTCCCTCCTTCCTCTGTGCCCAGAGATCACACCCAGGTTAACTGTGCCAGGCAGGCGCCCTACCCACTGTACTCTCTCACCAGCCTCCATGCTGTTGGTAGGGTTTTGTTGTTGGGAACTGAACATATAGTGCCAAGTTTGTGGGACCAACATTTTTGTTTCAAGAAAACTGTTGCTGTCCGGATCGTGCTTCCGCGGTCCCCAGCCACCTGCCTCGGGGGCAGACTCAGCCACTTCAGACAGCAGGCCAGCTTGTTACTGTGGGGCGAAATCGGGGTCAGAGTTTGCCTCTGCAGCTAAAGGGTTTCTCCCCTAGTCCTGTGAAGGCTTTGAGGGACGCTGGTCCCCCTTCCTCTGGAACATCTGAGGTCCCCGAGAGAAGGGTTTCCCTGCAGGCCACAGGACACTGGGACCCCCTTCTGCTTCTGCTCCCCTCCCTTCATTTCTAGCCACTGAGCGTGGCATCCTCGTGGCACATAACATTGACAGATGAGAATCAAATTCCAGGGTACTTGAGTGCTAGTTGGTCCTCGGGGGCTGAGTGGGCAGGGGAGGAGCCAGCAGGGACTTTGTTGAGGGCTGCAGTGGCGTCGCTTGCGCCTGTCGTGGCCTTCTTCCCATGGAGGGGCATCTTTATGATTCCCTCTTTGGGGGCCATATCCACCGGTGCTTGGGGAGTTGCGAGGTGGCGGGGATTGAACCCCCAGGATCCCACGTGCAAAGTCTCCTTTAAGCATCTCCCAGGCCCTGTTCTTCCTGCCAGGGGGAGAGTCCCAAGGCTCCTCAAGCCTTTGTCTGCCCCTGTCCAAACCCTCCATGCTGCTTTGAGAACAGCATCACCTACCAAAGGCCTATCGGAGAGCCTGACAGTGTGCACTGAAAGGACGAGCACCTCAGCACAACCCTGTCTGCCCACTGCCAAAAAGGTCGGCACTTACTGCAGGGGTCTGGAAGGAACCACAAGGGCCAACCCAGAAAGTTGCAGGTTCTGGTAAATGAAGGAAGACCAGACGTACTTACTTGAGGAACCTGGGGCCTCACTCGTGCAAGGCAGGTGCTCTGCCGCTCAGTGGCACGCCCTCTGCTGCCCTCCCCTCTCCTCCCCTCCCTGCGAAGATTCAGCTGAGCCACTGGGTCTCTGGCTGCAGCAGAGGTGACTGTGCTGGCTGGGAAGGAGCTTGGGGTGGCCCCTTGTCTGGCCTGCCCTAGACAGGAAACTTAACCAGGTTGCTGGAACTCAGACTCACCTGCTTTCTGTCCCCAGCAGATGTGCCATGGAGGGACCTGGCACCCCCGGCGCCAGCAGGCGGATCCACACGGAGCTTCCCCGACGTTCCACTCCACTCTGTACAAACCTCTCCCGACTGGATGTGTGCTGACACCTGGCTTTGCTCCCCCCCTCCCCCCTCGTGTGTGTGTGTGTGTTGACCGACTCTATGCCATAAACCTCAAGTTACTCAGTTTATTTTGTTTCATTTTGGGGTGATGATTCAGTTTCAGACGTTTGGAATAGGTTTCCAATTAAGTATTTGTCGAGTATTAACAGCACAAGTCATGGGTTAACTTTAGAATAGGAATTGGTGGAGGGAGGGGGAGGGAGTTGCAAGAATTGTTATTTTATTTTCTTCTTTTCTTGGATGAAATTTTTATTATATATTAAACATTCTTGCTGCTGCGCTGTGAAGCCATAGCAGATTTGAGGCGCTCTTGAGGGCCCAAATACTCTCCACGTCGAGAGGAGTCCTTGGGTTGAATGAACAGCCCTACCTAAAACTGAAGCGGGAGGGGGGACTCTGCCCTCCCCGCCCGCCCCGCCCTCCCCTTGAATCCTTTGCCTTCGAAAGCAGATTGTTCTCACCGCCACGGACACTGCAGGTACCCGTCCCGGGCCAGGCGGCACCCCCGAAGCCTTCTGTGGCCTGGCCTGTCCCCTCCCCCCCCCAATCCTGTGGTTTTTCTAATGGATATTCAGGACTTTTGTAATCTAGCTATCCAAACTTCACTTCCTAAATTTTAAGAACTTCAACCGAACGTTTTAAGTTGAAGGTGCTGTTTGTAGACACTCACCACCAGTGAAAGCCCCGTCCTCAGCCCCGCCTTGGGTGTTCTCTTAGGATTCAGGCTGCTGTCGCAGCGTCGGCATCTCCGTCCCTGATGCTCAGCGCCCCCGCCCCCGCCCCTCTCACCCCTTTGCTGTCCTGTGTAGTGATTTGGTGAGAGGCTATCGCTGCCTCCCCCCCTCCCCTCTGCACTATGTATGAGTTTCCGGTTTTATTATTGCAATAAAAGTGCTTTATGCTGGCTTTTCTCAGCTCTGTGTGATGCTACTCACTCTCAGCTGTTCTTGGGGGCTGGGGTTGGGGGGCAGGGGGCCGTGCGACAGTGGATGGAGCCCAAGGTGGTGTGTTGGAAATGAATCTGAACAGTGGACATGCTCTCCTGTTTGCCGATCCAGGCGGTGGGGATGGAAGGAGGTAGGTTTGCATCCGGGGATCAGCATGGGGTCATCTGGGAGCACCCCCATGACCATCACCAAATGTCCATTAAATGCCTGGGAGAAGTGGGGGTCTCTGGGCAGCGCGAGGTGTGACCAGTTCACAGCCCAGGGGGGAAGTGTCACTGTCATGTCAGTGTGTAGAGCCACGGAGAGAGCTCTGAAGACCCTACACGAGGCCTTTCATAGGGTCGCTGGCACTTCTCGGCCCTCTGAGCACCACCAGGTGTGTCTCTGGTTGGCCCTTAGCATCACCAGGTCCAGCTACCGAAACTGTCAGGCCTGCACCCCCTAGTGTGGCCATAAGATGTTTAATGGTTTTCTAAATACATCCTTTAATTAATGTAGTAATGTTTCAGGTTTGTATCGCTACCCGAAGTTCTTTTGTCTTGTGTTTTAGGCCACACCTGGCTGTGCTCGGTGCTGACAACTGGCAGGGCTCAGGGACCTTCTAGGGTACCAGGGAGTGAACCTGGGTTGGCCACATGCAGGGCAGACATGCTGTCCACTGTCCTGTCCCTCTGGCCCCCTTTACCCAGAGGTGTCATTAACATTGCCACACCAAGGAGATGGGCAGCTCAGAGGGCTGGAACATGCTGCACGGGCATCGTTGCTGCCTCGTTCCCATCCCTGGCGCTGCATGGCCCCTCAGCACTGCTGGCTGCAGCCCTCATGGGAGCACACGGCGGGAGGCTTGGGACCCAGCACGCCACAGCCTGAGCAGCACCACCCCATCCCCAGGCTCGGAACTGAGCCTCTGGTGCGGGGACCCCAGAAAGGTCTTGTTTTTTGTTTCCTTTTGCTCACACCCAGCTGTGCTCAGGGCTTACTCCTGGCTCTGCACTCAGGAATCAGGAACCATATGGCAATTCCTGGCAGGGTTTAGGGGACATATGGGGTGTTGGGGATAGAACCCAAGTCTGTCACATGCAAGGCAAGTGCTCTGCCCACTCTACTTTCCCTCCAGCCCCCAAATAAAAGATTTTGATGGTGAACCACCAACATGTCCGCCTCCAGGACACTCATTTCTTTTAGACGACATTTCAGGATAAAGGGCAGCATCACTGTACGTATCATTGAAGTGCAGTATTTTACTCCGATGCCCGTGATGCAGAGTAGTGGCATCATCTTGAAGAGCCTCTTGGCCTTTTCCTGTCAGCCCCATCCCGCCTTCAGGTAGAGGTTTTAATTTAGATTATTACTTTTTACCATAGTGTTGCTTGTTCTAAAAGTTGGTTAAGTAAATTTCTACACCAGGTCTTCTTGCCAGCTCTAGATAGGGCCTTCTCTTCCTGGGGAATTTGTTCTCATTGAACCTAAAGGTTCTGAGAGTAGTGTAGATTTGGGCCAGAACCAGGACCTCTCTCACTCCCCGAAAGTGTCCACGTCCTGTTCCCTGGGCTCTGAATGGCATCCTTTATGCAGCAGAGTGGGATGTCATACATTGTAAATACATGTCCTGGTGGCATGCCCACTCCCTAATCCTGTGGGCAGAGCTGGAGGCCTTACCCGAGACTGAAGAAACTGCTGCTAACTTTGAGGATGGGGCAGGAACTTTGAGCTAGGGAACAGGTGGGAGAGACCTTGACATGAATTCTAGGACCTCCAGAAGGAACCAGCCCTGCGCGCAATTAGTGTTTGTCCATGGAGAGACTGATTTTGGTCTGTCAGCTTTCCTAACTGGAACCTGATCAGACAGTTGGCCAATCATCACATACCAAAACCGAGCCCCACGCATGTCCCAGAGCAGGAAAATGGGCTAGTTCCAAAAGAAATGGAAAACTTCCAGAAGCCCCCACAAACACCCACTTTCCCTCCTATTTGGCGGCCAGAACTGAATCTGGGATATTCACGTGCTCCCACCACCCGCCACCTTCCACCCGGGATTGGGTAAGGCCCCAGACTGCCCTGAAATCCAGAGCCTTGCAGTGAAATGAGGGTTCTTTTAGGAAGGAACTGCTTTCTATTTTTTTTTTGGAGGGGGTCACACCTGGCGATGCACAGGGGTTACTCCTGGCTCTACACCCAGGAGTTACTCCTGGCGGTGCTCAGGGGACCATATATGATGCTGGGAATCGAACCCGGGTCAGCCGCGTGCAAGGCAAACGCCCTACCTGCTGTGCTATCTCTCCAGCCCCAAGGAACTGCTTTCTATGGCTGTGCATATTTCTGTTTATTTTTGAGGAGCATGATGGTTATATTCACCGCCCTAGGTCCTGGACAATTCATTTGTAATTCTGCTTCTGGCCTTCTGTTAAGGTTTAGACCCCAAATTGACCCCCATTTGAGATTTCTCCATTTGTTGAAAGGATTTGGGGTGGGGACCGCGTATTCAAGGGGTGGTCAGAGCAACTAGATGAGCTTCAATATTCTTCCACTTCTCCAGCTTTAATTCTTTGCGGGGAGGGAGACCCGAGCTCTGCTCAGGGCTTTTTCCTGGATCTGTGTTTGAAGATTAGGGAACCATGTGGGATTCGGGGGCGGGGTTGGACGCCAGGGGGCCACATCAAGGCAAGCACCTCACCTCCCGATTTGCCTCTCCAGCACCCACAGTTCTAATTATTGGGAATTGAATGACTGACAAGTGGGGACTTTAGGGCTCAGACTGAGGTCTGTGAACTTCAACTTCCTCTTGGGTAAACCCCTGACCCTAAGCAGGAGGGAAAGGGGAGACCAGAGATGGGTCCACGTCCACAGGTGAGTAAGGCCCCCGCCAGCTGCAGGCCAGTTTGAGTGAGCCACCTGGGTGTTCTGCCCTACTGAGCCCACCGGTGCCCCGAGGCACAGAAACATCTCACAGGTGAGAGGGGCTGGAGAGAGAGAGAGAATAGTGGGTAGGGCACCTGCCTTGCATATCGCCAACCCAGGTTCAGTTTCTTGTGTGCTGTACAGTCCCCCAGGCCCTGTCAGGGAGTAATCCCTGAGCACAGAGACAGGAGTAAGCTCTGAGCAACACCAGGTGTGGTCTCCAGAAAGAATCCAAAGCTAACTGTTAAGGATTTTACATTGTGGCACTTTCGGACAGTTTAATACCCCCACCTACCCCACCACACATGCACACACACTCCACAGACAAGTGGTCTGGGTTCCAGGGTGAGAGAAGATACTCCGATCGTCTCTAACATCCCAACAATGGAAGTTGCATAGTACCACTGCTGCTCCAGCCGTCCCGTGTGTCACTGGTCAGGACCAGTCACAAAGCCAGCCCCAACACGAAAGGTCCAAGAAATCGACTCCTGCTCCCCGGCTGGGAAGAATGGCGTTGGGGAGCCTGGTGACCACAGGGAGGGGACCCTGACCAGAACACTGCTTCACCTTGTCTATAAAGCCTTTCCTCTGTCCTTGCTGGGCAGTGTGGCTCAGGAGTTTTATTCTAGACCAGTAGTTATTGTCCCTAAGGACAAGGACATTGCTGCATTGTCTTATTAGAGTTTTGTAATTGTTGTTGTTTACTTTATCAACCAAAATGATTTATTTTCTGAAACCACATTGTAGCACAGTCTGGTATAAGGTTCAAATTAGGATCATTAATAGTAGGGCATTTGCCTTGCACACGACTGGCCCGGCTGAGCTGGGTTCGATTCCTCCGCCCCTGTCAGAGAGCCCGGCAAGCTACCGAGAGTATCTCACCCGCACGGCAAAGCCTGGCAAGCTACCCATGACATATTTAGTATGCAAACACAGTAACAAGTCTCAAAATGGAGGCGTTACTGGGCCCGCTGGAGCAAATCGATGAACAATGGGAGGACAGAGCTACAGTGCAACAGTAAAGAGTGGGAACGGTCAGTGCGTTGGTTTTTAATAAGTTAAACTTTTAAAACAAGTAGTGGCTTGTATATGTGTGTGCCTACCTGTTCGTTTTCCTATTTAATACAATGTAGAAAGAAGAAAATGAGAAAAACCAACTCTGCAAATTATCATAGCTTTACTTTTCAAGAAAATCATTGCATTATTTAAAAATCATCTTTAGATATGCCCTCATATAACAGTTGAGAGCATTTTTCTACACAGAAACAGCAAATGCTCAGTGATACTATATGACTTTTCCTGTCTCTTTCATCTCATGCTATGTCTGTCATTTTATTTTATTTTTAATTTTATTTCTTAAATTTAATTTTTATAAAATTGTTCACATAGGATTTTTTTTTTACTGATTCACCGTGAGGTGCAGTAACAACTTTCATATGTGAGCTTCAATTATAGAGTCATCAAACACCCATCCCTTCACAGTGCACGTTTTCTACCACCAAAGTTCCCAGTATCCCTATCCCCAATTCCACACCTCCCCCTGCCTATGTGACAGACAGTTTGCACAATTCTCTCTTTAGTTACCTTCTATATTTCGAGACCAGCCCACCACCACTCATACCTATTGAAAAGGCAATGCTAGACAATGTTTTTTGTATTGCTTGTTATGGATACAATATAATGTGTGGCCACAAGAGCGGCTGCATGCTCTAGGAATTCTAAAATTTTAATAATTAAGGTCTGAAGAGATTGCAGCAGCAAGTTGCTCGGGTCCGAGAGCTTAAGTAGACTTTGGCAGGATGTGGCATCATCTCAAGAGACCCATGGGGGGGGGTTGGCGGGGGGGGGGGGAGAAGAGCACACTCCTCCCCTGTCCTGTGAGGCCTGGCGTTTGCCACCAACACTCGTACCTAGAGCTTGTCCCTGACTTATAGAAAATGGAGGCTGCTGGGGCTCCTAGAAGGCAGGGGGAGGGGCGGCACCTACCCCGTCTGGAGCAGCCCAGTGAAAACGGCCTGTTGCAAAGTCCAGGGCCATCCCTGCAGCAAGTTGCTCAGGTCTGAGATTCA